AATGCGAGGAAAGAACCGGAGTTCTTGAGAGCGGTTGATAGGGAAATCAGGAGGTACTTGGATTCGAGCTCCATCGAAATAGCAGAACCGAGGTCCACTAGTGATTTAGCTCACTATCTTCCGATATTAGCAGTCGCGAAGAAATCGGCGGCAAACAGTTCGGAGCTCCGTGTAAGGGTCGTCAAGGATTGTGGGTCTCGCTCGAAAGACGAGGCCTCTCTCAACGACGTGCTCGAAACCGGTCCAACTTTGTTACCGGATATCCTCCTCCCTCTGCTCCAATTTCGGAGTTTCCCGATTGTCATCGTCACGGACATCAAACAGGCGTTCATGAACTTCCTGATAGCGAAACATCATCGAACACTCCTGAGGTTTTACTGGCCGTTGGGAATCTCGGAAAATCCTGACGCCCCGATTCAGGAATATTGGGCCAGAGTCCTCGACTTCGGTATCTCCTCCAGTCCCTTCCTTCATTGCATGGGACTTCGCTATCACCTAGATTCGGAGATCGAGAGGTTGCCCGAGAAGGCACAGCTGCTGGGGCAGTTGAAAAAATCGTTTTTCATGGACGATCTATGTACGGGAGCGAGCTCGATCGGGGAGGCGAAAATCGTCGTGACCACTATCATTGACGTATTCCATCGAGGCCATTTTCCCTCTGACTAAACGACACCTTCTCAGGGGTCTGGCTCAGATCTATGATCCCTTGGGTCTTATCTGTCCGATCGCAATCAACTTCAAAATTCTCATGCAGATCATCTGGACCCGGAAGATCGATTGGGACACCGAGTTGCCCAACGATCTGAAGGAAAGGTATCAGGAATCAGTGAGCAATCTGAGTTTCGTCCCATTTATCCAGGTAGATCGCAATCTGCTGAGGCTTCCAAGAAAGCAGGCGACACGTGAACTCCATGTATTCGCGGACGCATCCTTCCTAGCTTTCGGGACAGTGGCTTACATTCGCGAATTCTCCAGGTCCAATCCAAAAGGCGAGGTTGCTGTCCGCTCCATAATGGCCAAGGCCAGAGTCACCCCTATCAAGGGGAAGTGGACTATACCAAGGCTTGAACTGATGGCCGCTC